ATCCATGTCACCATTTTTCATAAAGCATGTTATCATTTTCTAAGGCCATGTCATAGTTTGAACCAACCAAATTAAAACACTTAAGCCAAACTAATAAAAGTACTTCCCTTTTTAATAGTAAGGGAATGTGTTGTGTCAGCTTCTAATAACACAAAAAAACTGCTAGAGAGATTTTTAAAGGTTTTATTGTATTGACAAGCCTAATATTGGGTCTAAGCCCATAGTCTAGTGTAAAAATCGATCAAGCCCAATATCTAGTGTTTTCACAACTTCCTTACCAGACAAGAAAGCGGTTTTCTTGCAAGAGTATGTGACTTGCGTTGCAAGAAACAAGTTATTTTGTTTGAATATGAGAAACATGTTATATGACATATGAGTAATCGTCGTCTTTTTCTTAATCATCTACTAAATTGGTGTCGAAATTACACATGTTTGATAGAAAACGTGAGAAACAAGAAAATAGAAAGACATACATGAGTCGAAAGAGAATGTAGTTAATTTGATGATCGGAGTATTGTCACTGAGTAGAAGACCACCAGAGTTGGATCATTGTTGAGGACTGAGTTGGATGAGTATATCAACGCTAAAAATACGATTTTGCACCAATTGATCTATCTTTTTGGTGCTGAAAGTCGGCAATTTGTAGGAGTTTAGATGTAGACGAGTGTTTCTCTCAAACTAAATCACGTTCAAAGAGGCTTGCCAAACAATTAATAGAAGCTATCTATGCTCAACGTCTGGCGCTTAGAATGCTTAATAGTGAAGCCGCATAAATCCGTTTAATAACAAAAATACATAATTTAATGCGTATAAGATAATATCCACAGTCTAGACAGTTATCTAGGAATCGTCTGAGTATCTAGCGCTTAATCGGGACCTTGGCGATCGCCTAGACCACTTTTTTATAACATGTTGCTTTATACACATTTTTCGAATAATTCGATAGGCAATTTTCAACTCTTGATCTATTTTACCGCAATATTTTGACACCTACTTTATATATGCATAATAATGTCAATCTTATCAATTGGGGACTACCAAATTAGATAATGTTTGTATCTTTTTTTTTTATCTAAACAATGTGTGTCCAATAATTGTTGATCCAGTTGATGATGATATCTTGTACAACGTCCACCCAATTTACCACGTCACCACAATCCACCCTCCCTCGTATTAACCAAATTATAATTAATTAAAAAAAAAAACATTCCAAAAGAAGCGGAAACAGAAATAAGAAAGAGAAGAAAAACAAAATGTTTAGTAGAACAATTGCTTCTGCAATCTCTCCGGTCTCTTCTTCTTCTTCCTCCTTGTCGTCTCTCTTACCCAACACAACCACCAAACCTTTCTTCTCCGGATTCCGACATCGAATCCACCATAAGCCTCTCCGAATGACGACGACAACTCCCAATTTAACCCCGAGAGCCACCACGCAACAGTTGGAGAATGCTGATCAGCTCATCGATTCCGTCGAAACTTTTATCTTCGATTGTGACGGTCAGTCATTTTTGGAAATTTTCTAATGAATTTGTTTAGATCAGATCAATCTTAGAGGAATTTGGTGTCTGAATTGCGAGAGAGTGGATTTGTTTTGTTTGCTTGTAGGAGTAATTTGGAAAGGAGATAAATTGATTGAGGGAGTTCCTGAGACTCTTGATATGCTCCGTGCCAAGGTCGGTAAGCAATCGATTTTCTCCGTCTCAAATTCTTTTGCAAGTTTTTGTTACATTACATTACATCAATTTTGGTATTTGAATCTCAAATTTTACAGGGGAAGAGGTTGGTTTTTGTTACCAATAACTCAACAAAGTCTAGGAAACAATATGGTAAAAAGTTTGAGACTCTTGGCCTCAGTGTTAACGAGGTTAGTGACTTACTACTTCACTATTTCTAGCTCCTCTGTATCTACAATTCACTTTTTTCGATTAAAGTATCGTTTTTTCTTTTCTTTGCAGGAGGAGATATTTGCTTCTTCTTTTGCTGCAGCTGCATACTTGCAATCTATCGATTTCCCAAAAGATAAGAAGGTAAACCATCTCTTAATCGTCTATTTCTCTGTCTCGTGTACCAATCAGATGATTAAAAGAGTACCTTTGCAAGTTCTGATGCATGTTTATTCAGGTGTACGTGATCGGTGAGGAGGGTATCTTGAAAGAGCTCGAGCTTGCTGGTTTTCAATACCTTGGAGGTCCGGTATGTAGCACTGACCTTTCTTACCAGCTTCCAGGAATATTTGTTTGTTGTCATTATCCTGAACAGTTAATTGTTCAAATACAGGAGGATGGTAAAAGGCAGATTGAATTGAAGCCAGGGTTTCTAATGGAGCATGATCATGATGTATCTCATCCTTCCTATACATTTGATTTCTTTATGTTTCTCTTTCTACTTCAACTTATAGAGTCGATGAACTTGTTCTTCTTGAGACGGAAACTGAGTATAGTTTTACTGAAAACGCTTTCCAGGTGGGAGCCGTTGTGGTTGGATTTGATCGCTATTTCAACTACTACAAAATTCAGTAGGTCCTCCTGTAGAG